CTTCCTCTATAAGATAGTTGAGGTAAAATCCAGTTCCATTTTGATAATCTATTGCAAATTTTATCTTTTACACCTTCCCAGTTTTCCCTTCGATACACTTCTGAACCTAAAAAGATGCCCAAAAACTTAAAACCATCCTTTCCCCCACTTTACATTTCCAGGAATAACAGGTAAAGACATTGCTATTTGATCATTACACCAAAATGCTTCTGTTTTACTCCAGTTCAATTTTGCAGAACAAGGATGAAAGACCAGGAGAGAGAGAGAGAGAGAGAGAGAGAGAGAGAAAGAAAGGAGGCGGCAAAAAGACACAATTCTCAGCAGTGTGTGTGCCACTTATACAGAGATGTGCCCACTGCCCAAGGAAAAGCAACACTATTTCACATTTAAACCTTTCCCCACTGTGTTGCAGAGCGAGTGAGGGGAGGCAACAGGCCACAAACCACCACAGAGAGGCACAGAGCCCCCATGGAGCAGCAAGTTGAGCCTGAGGTGTGGAGTACCCTACAAAGATGGAGCTGTCATTGAGGTCTCCACACAGCAGGAGTTCTGATAGACCTTTAGTTCTGCCCAGAGTGTACTTACACCAAAGAGTCATGCATTTCTTAAAAAAAATAAAATAAAAAATCAGAAATGCAATATGAGCAAAAAGTATATAAAATTTTTGAATGAATGAATGAATGAATTAATTAATGAATGGTTTATTTATTTATTTAGAGAAATATATCAATTTTTATTTCCAAAATTGCAAGCTTAAGAACTTTGAAATTTTACGAGAAATGTTCACTGTATAGGTCATGTTCCCTTTCGTGGAACTTCGAACTGCGTCCTCTAGGGGTCGCTATGGGGAACGCCTCGTCGTGACCCGTGTCTGAAGCCTACATTGAAAAAACACCAACTTGTTTGGCCGGCGACATAATTTATATTGTGCCATTAGCATCACTGGTTTTGCAAAAAGTTCCCCGAACAGTCATTGGTCAGATAAACAAAATCGGCCCACCCCGGATTCAAGCCATTGGTTGAGCTAATGTTGCTATGTTGAACATTTTTTCAAACAAACAGAGCAATGGTTTGAAATCACCACAGAACCATCTGTTTACTGTTCAACCTTTTAATGCTTACATATAGTTGTATTTATATATCAAGCTGGAGATATCAAATAGTATTTTAACTCAGAAAAATGTACACATTTCACCTTTAACATATTAACTTTGGCAGCCCATTTTTTAGCACAGCATTAAAGATTGAAGATTAATTGAAGATTAAATGACCGCCCCTTCTTTGTATTCCTGGCTGCACTGTCAGCAAGTGTTTGAGCATCTGTTTCATCGTATCCAAATGACCACACGCAAAAACAATCCCCCTAATCGGATTTATCTTTTGTTATCCATGCTTAGAACTGTTCTCACCACAGTGGCAGAAATTTACAGATTATATAAATAAGCGCTGAGATAGCCAAGGATCAAGAAAGCTTGGCTTGCTCTTATTTGCATACAGCTCTGCTCTCTGTTTAATGCTGTTAGGTGTAACTGATTATATTGTTTACAATGGTGACAACCACAAAGAGCTTAAAAACTGCAGCGGTCAGCAATGGTCGACTGCTTCTTTGAGAGCATATGTGTGAGTGTTTCTAGCCTAACCTTACATTATGAACGAATTTGTTGACAAATAAGCTAAATGTGACAAAAACTCAATTTAACAGTCGCCTCCAAGGGCAAAAAGCAGTTCATAAATAAAGTAAATGGTGTTTTAAGTTTACTAATTTAGATGGCTAGACAGTAGAAGCAGCAGTTTTAATTTAGCATAGATTTGCAAGGCTTGTTTTTGTTTAGAGATAATGACATATATTAACACCCATGTCAGCTGAGCTTTAAAAATACAGAATATGTTAATTAAACCGTTGTTTTGCACTTGTCAGAGAATTATTTAATCACTGGTAGCTGCAAGGCACTGTTTTATGTCTTAAATCAATGAAGAAACTATAATATTCTTGTAGTTAAAATCCTGGTTTACTAATGGAAACATTGCTGGTTCAAACCCAGGTGTGTGATGCAAATATCGTACTCTATTGAAAAGAGTCATCACCTCCAGATGATCTGAAGACCTCTCCCTGCAAGTTTAAGTAGCAGGTTATGGTAATTTAATGGTTTAAAGACCTGCTTTTGCACCTGCATTTTCCCTCAGGGATCAATAGTATTTATTTTACTCTGCAAATAACACAGATATTGTGCTCTATCACAGTTGTCTTTGAGAGTAATTTAATTACTGCTTGCCCATTGGCACTGTCCTTGCAATGAATCTAAAAAGTTTGTAACAGAGAGATATCATGATAGCCTAATGGATGAGAGTTCGAGCTGCTGTTGCAAACGCTGCGGGTTCAATCCAAGTTCATGGAATGCAGGTTCAATCCTAGATAAGGCACTTGAGGTGTTGCAGTCACCGAGATGACAGTTCTTCCGCCGTGGAAAATAGCTGCCGATCCATGTGAGCGTCTGAAATTGAATCGTTGTGCTGTTTGCCAGTCCGTGGGAAATAATCTGTGAGTTGAGAGTTGGGAGCTGTCAGAACCTCTCTTGAAAACTCACTAAAGCTGTCTTAGATACCCAGTCTTAGAGTGTAATTATGGTTGTGAGTTTGTGCATTTCTAACCAATTATAACTGGGATTGTAACTTATACCAATAGAATGTGGAATCAGCCCCAGGGAGAATATAAATATGATTAGTAACACGGGTCCTCTGTACTTTGTACTGATGAGTCCTCTGTAGTATTGAATACAGCGAGTGTGTGCAGACCCCAATTATGCTGAAGCTTGACTGCGTCCCCTGAAGCCAAGACCACTTGAAGTGTTTAATATGATTCTCCATACATTACTGTTGTCATTCTATATTGTGTTCAAGAACTAGTGAGCTGCCTGCCTAGCCAGCATTTTATGTCAACATGCACGTTCCCAATGTGCAGGTTATTTCCCCGAAAGGCAAAATTTTGAATGAATGAATGAATGAATGGACAAAATAGTTATTCCAAAAAGGCAAGACTTGGTTTTAAAAATAAACATTCATTCATTAATTAATTCGTTTGTTCGTTCATTCATTATTTCTATTTTTAATTCATAGTGCTAAATTGTAAGCAAAATAATAACACTATAGATAAAAGGTTCAGTTTGTAAGAATTGTAACATTTTCAGTTTTTAACCTTCATAAAATTAGATTATGAATAAATAATATAAGTTGGCAAAGAAAAAAAAGAGAAATACCAATGATAATTTTAATATCTAAATTAATAGTAATATTTATAAACCTAGATTAATAATTACTATACGAAAATGTAGTTCATTATTAATGAACTAACTACTGTTAACAAATTGAAAATTGTTTATATTTGTACTTTTTTTTGGTCAAAATAAAAAATGCAACATTGTATGTGTTCTTTATAATCTCAGAATGCACTGCAACAAGCTTGGTCTAAGTTTCATTTGATGTGGCAAATTGAGTTAAAAAAATTTTTTTTTTTAGTAATCAAATATTGGTAAATTTTTATATTTACATAAAATTATGTGTTTTTCATTCATTCAAATCAGACAGTTATGAGGCTCCATGACATTTTAAAAGACAGCTGCCTGTGTAGGTAATATAAAGTAAGGAGGCTAAATAGGTTTGGTTGAATTTGGATTCTATGCAGCAACCGCACCGTTGGAAAGGTTTCAGTCCTGAAATATAACCTCATAAACTCAAATCAGTAAGTGTGTGTACAGCCTATATATTTACTATATTTTTTTATATGCCTTGTGCATATAGCAGAAGGGCCAGATGAAGAGGCAGAATCAGTTTCTGGACCAGTCTGTCCTGCTCTGGGGTGGTACTGGGGGCGACGGGGTCTTGGACAGTCATCTGTCCTGCAGGTCTGCTGTGACCTTCTCTGCAGTCAGGACACAGAGCAGCGGACTTCTCCATAGCGTCTGTCAGCGCTGGCACATGACATGCCAGCCTGCAGCGTGCCAATGGCCTCTCCCTTACAAAGCTTTGTACGCATGAAACACGCTCTCACCCACACAGCTACTCTCTCAGGCATTGATTATATCTTTCCGCAGACTTCCTGTGGTGTTGGGCCTTCATTTATCTGTCATGAAAATGAACCAGATCAGAATGAAGCAGTAAATAATTATACTTTCAAATCATTTTGAAGTGGAATTCTAAAGTATAATAGCAATGTTTTCTATGTATCTATGTAATCAGTGGTGCTCTATAGAGGACAATACAAAGAGATCAAAATTAAACTGGTGTAAGTTTGACTATGAATGAAAGACACTCTCGCTGATGGTTTCAAAACTGGAATAAGGACTGTCAATAGCTTCTGGTGTTCTTGTTCTGGTCTGCTTGCTTTGATCTTGTGTAATTATCGTGACAACAGCCTCAATATCCAGTGTGAGTCCTGAACTTTGATCAAACTTTCATTGCATGTTTTAAAGATTCATACAGCAGGAAAGCATTCTCCGCCTGTCTTTGCATGCATGTCTGTGTGTATATGAGTGTCTGTCTGTCTTTATGTGTTTAGACAGAGAGGGGTGAACTGACAAAACACTTGTGAAATATGTATGCATGTTTTTAAGAAAACTAACGTTCACTAATTATCCTTCTCTTTTTTTGTCTCTTGCTTTCTTATTCCTTATTAATTCTTAAGGATTAGTTCACTGAAAATTCTATTTTCTGTTAATCTAAAAATGTTAATTTTATTATGTTGATCAATAGCACTGTAGGGTGCCTTTTGGTGTCCTGTACATAAATAACTCATTTGCCATGATAACTTAACATAAAAATGACTATGAAAGGGTATATTAAGCTAAGTTTTTATATTCATAACAATTTGCTATGTCCCATACACTGCTCATCAAATTTGAATGATAGTAGAATATTGTCAAATCATAAAATTTTAAAATTTTGTTCTCCTATTAATATTTTGTTAAATGAGAGATTACTCAATTTGAGTGTATTGATCATTTGGTAATAAAAACAATATTTTTATTTAATAAAAAAGAAGAGTTTGTCCATGTCCCTTGAATGGCTGTCCACCCTGTCGTATTGGGGAATCTGCCCCTTTAAGAAGGCCATTCCCTTTAGTGACATCAGGACAACAGATTTTCTGTCTCTTCAGTGGCGGGAATTTCAGCCGCTGAGGTGAGCAAGTTGGTGACTTTTCAATTGACAAATTTCCTTTGTCTGAGTTTGCTTACTTGCTTTGCCAAAGCTTAACATGTCCACCCTGTCGGCATAAAATATGCCAGAAGTGATTAGAATACAGTATTTTCAAAATATGTAAGTTTAAACATACCAAATTATCTTCAACGACCAGACTAACTATTCATTTACATTACATTTACATTTAGTAATTTTGCAGATGCCTTTATCCAAAGCGACTTACAATTGGGGAATACATAAAGCGATTCTTCATAAAGAGTCTTTGCAATGTGGTCTTTGAAGGTCAGCTGGTCATCAAAGATTACACCAAGATTGCTGACCGAAGTTGATGGGGTAATTGTGGAAGATCCTAGCTGGATGGTGAAATCATGCTAGTCACAGTTTGTTGTAAGTTAATATGCTAATTGAAGCTCAAAATGTCCACCCTGTCAGCCATTCAAATAAGTACAAGCTAGAAAGGGAAGGAATAAATAAAGATTATTTTTTAAATTTAGGATGAAGTCAAGTAACGTCGAAAGAGATGAGTTTTCAGCTATCGCTTGAAAATTGTCAGGGATTCATAATTCCGGAAAGGGGTGGGAAAATCACGAAGTTGATGGGGTAATTGTGGAAGATCCTAGCTGGATGGTGAAATCATGCTAGTCACAGTTTGTTGTAAGTTAATATGCTAATTGAAGCTCAAAATGTCCACCCTGTCAGCCACTTAGACTCGATAGGGTGGACATACACATGATTGAAATATTTCATTGTCACATTTTGTCATGCTTTGTGTGTTCTGCTTTATGTGTCCACCACGTCATGTGCTGGTCCACCCTGTCATCTTCATATTTTACTATAATATTTTAAATAATAATTCAATCATGTCTATATAACCCAATGTGTTCAATAGCTAGGTGCGGGGACAATACCATGCAACCAAATATCATAGCTCCCCTTCAGGAACTATGACGTAGCGACCAGGAAGCTTAAAAGCACGTGCGGTGGATAGAGTGACAGCTTTCTGTCATTCAGCAAGCGCTCTGTGTGTGTGTCAGTCTTCTCCGTTTGTGAAACTTATTTAGTGTTGTCTGTCCCTCACTATAAGTCATGCCAAAGGTGAGTGATAAGACAAAACACCTGGAGAGAGCAGGCAGCGTTTCAGGCTGTGTGTTCCTCCCTGCCCGTGCTACATTACGGGTGGGGATACACACAGTCTGTGTGTTGTCTGCTTGGGAGTGAAGCACGCAGAGTCAGCTCTCGAGGAAGCTGACTGCCCGAATTGCGAGCGTCTGCCACTGGGTATGCTTCGCTCCCGGAAGGCTCTCTTCAAGGAGCGTTCCTCGCGGTGCCGGCCCTGCTTCTGCCGAGGTTGAGTGGCGGCTGCGCTCGTGGGGATCGCAGATGGATCTGGTGGAGAGAATGGAGATGGGTGAGTCCCTTTCTTCTTCCTCACCCACCAGATCCAGAACCTGCTCTCTGGGATTGGAAGCCCGCTCTGCGGTTTCTTCCCCCTGGGGAGAGGGCTCAACCCTCCGCCTGTCTTCCTCAGAGGAGTTTGACATGGAGGGCGTCGCTGAGGACTCGCCCCCCAATCGCTCCAGTATGAGGAGCTATTGGAGGTGGTTACTCGCGCCGTGGCCAATCTAAACATCGACTGGCCCGCCGAGAAACAGGCTGAACTGCAGAAAAGCAAGCTCAATGTACGCTTTCTGCGGAGTAAGCCTGCCTTTCTTCCCCGACCTCCACATCGATGTGTCGAGGTAATGGGCGAGACCCTTTTTGGCCCGTATCTTCAGTCCCGCCTCCAGTCATTATGCCAACGTGGCGGTGCTGAGTGATCACGGCTACAGGGTGATGCCCAGGGTCGAACAGACGCTTGTGATCTATCTGTCCCCCGCGCGGCATCGTCCCTGAAGGCTCCGGCATTGCTCTCCAAGTCGCTGCGGACCACCTCAGAGCTGGTGGGCAAGGGGTACACGGCAGCAGGTCAGGCTGATGTTTGCTTACACACCATGGCGGTGTTGCAGGCCTACCAAGCCGATCTGCTGAAAGAGCTGGATGAGGGCGAGGAGATTAAGTCTGAGGATATCACCGAGCTCAGACGAACCGCTGATCTGTCTCTCCATGCCACCAAAGAGCCCGCCCGCGCCATTGGCAGGTCTATGGCAGCACTGGTGGCGGCGGAGAGACACCTGTGGTTGACCCTGTCCGATATGAAAGAGAAGGACAGGGTCTTCCTCATGGACGCCCCGCTTGCGCCTTCTGGCCTGTTCAGCGACGCCGAACGTAGTGGTGTACACCTCATCATACGGTGCCCATCTCTCCTCAGTGCCCTCAGGAGATCGATCTGCCAACCCTGCCACCAACGGTGCTTCAGGGCACAGCGGTCTCTGGCAAGCGCTTCTCTCAGTCTCCGCCCGGAAACGTAGCGGTACTGGGAGGCTCGCTACCTCTTCCGAGGTCTCTAGAGCAGCTAGTTCGGCCGTCCCCTGCCGGTCCGCCGCTTCAGGGCACAGAGGTAGCCACTCTGATTACACCAGAGGCCAGTCTCGAGAGTGGAAACTTCTGCCAAATGTGTCTCAATGGGTCCTGCACACTGTAGAGAGAGGCTACAGAATCCAGTTTGGTTCTCCTCCGCCTCGTTTCAACGGGGTCATTCCCACTCTGGTGGGCCCCGAGCAGGCTCTGGTAATGGAACAAGTAGTAAACACTCTCTTGAGGAAGGAGGCCATCGAGGTGGTCCCTCCTCTCGACAGAGAGTCCAGGTTCCACATCCGGTACTTCATCATTCCAAAGAAGGATGGAGGGTTGCGTCCCATTTTAGATCTGTGTCAATTGAACCGCTCAGTCATGCGACTGAAGTTCAGGATGCTCACAATCAAACAAGTCGTGTCTCAGATCAGGTCCGAGGACTGGTTTGTCATGATCGATCTAAAAGACGCATACTTTCATATTTCCATCCTTCCCCAACACAGGAAGTTCCTGAGGTTTGCTTTTGGGGGCAAAGCTTTCCAATATCGGGTTCTTCCCTTCGGCCTTGCACTCTCACCACGCACTTTCACGAAGTTTGTGGATGCTGTGTGCGAGATAAGGCCGGTCACTCACTGTCAAGCAGTTTTAAAAACTTTTTTAGACATTTGGAGGAAGCCTTGGTTCTTGTCTCAGGGCCCGATGCTGGGAGCTCCTTTCGCCACGTAACACTAGCGACGATTTCGTCCCTCACTGGTTGGGGAGCGGACATGAGTGGCCACTCGGCCCGTGGTCTGTGGAGCGGTCGCCATCTCACATGGCACATCAACTGCCTGGAGATGCTGGCCATGTTTCTAGCGTTGAAACACTTTCTCCCAGACCTAAGAGATCGCCATGTGTTGGTGGTTCTCTTACATCAACCACCAGGAAGGTCTGCGTTCACGCCCCCTTTACAGGCTGGTGCACCCACATCCTTGTGTGGTCCCAGGGCAGACTCCTCACGCTGAGGTGGTGAAGCAGATATGGAGAGTGTTTGGCCAGGCTCAGGTGGACCCAGTTTGCGACTCAGGAGACATCGCACTGTCCCCTCTGGTTCTCTCGGACTCATCCAGCTCCTCTCGGACTGGACGCTATGGTACAGACTTGGCCAAGGCTTCGTCTGTACCCCTTTCCCCCGATCGCTCTGCTCCTGGAAGTTCTGGAGAGAGTAAGCCGGGACGGGGTCCGTCTACTGCTAGTAGCATTGCGGCCTACCACGCCCCTCTCAGTGGTGAGTCAGTGTGCAGACACCCCCTAGTTACACGTTTCTTCCGAGGTGCGCTGAGGCTGAGGCCTCCAGTACGATCCCGTGTCCCCCCGTGAGACCTGGCTGTGGTTCTAGAGGCTCTCTGTAAACCTCCTTTTGAGCCTATAGAGGAGATATCTGATCGTCATCTCACTATTAACACTACCTTTCTTCTGGCGATTTCTTCTCTCAAGATTTGGGGATTTGCAAACCCTCTCAGTGGCCCCTTCTTACCTAGACTTTGTGCCCGGTCTGGCCAAAGCGTTTCTCTACCCGCGAGCGGGCTATGTACATAAAGTTCCCTCCTCCTTTTCTGGATCCTGACCAGCAGAAGCTTAACTGTATGTGTCCAGTGCGATCACTGGACGCATACGTCCACAGAGCTGCCCTGTGGAGAAGGGCGGACCAACTGCTAGTGTGCTATGGTCCCCCCAAGAGAGGTCTTCCTGCTACTAAACAGACCCTCAGCCAGTGGATAGTAGATGCCATTTGTCTTTCCTATGAGTCCTCTGATCTCCCCTCCCCCTTGGGGGTCAAGGCTCACTCTACCAGATGTGTGGCGTCCTCCAAGGCCTTTCTGGCAGGTGTGTCTATGCAGGACATCTGCAACGCTGCGGGTTGGTCCACGCCCCTAACGTTTGTGAGGTTGTATGGCTTTGATATGCGAGCCACTCCGGACTCTTCTGTTCTCTCGCCCTAGCTGTGCTCTTCCACACTAGGCAGGGATTTGTAAGTCTGGCAGTGTTGGCATACTCGTTCCCATAGTGTTTCGACACAGCTTGAGTTCCTGAAGGGGAATGTCTCTAGGTTACGCATGTAACCCTGGTTCCCCGAGGGAACGAGACGTTGCATCTCAGTGCTATACTTCCGACATGCCTGCAAGCATTTGCTTCATTTCGCAGAAGCTGCCGCTGTATCCACCGCCCGTGCTTTTAAGCTTCCTGGTCGCTACGTCGCCCCGCCTGTGACGTCTCGCACATCCATTGGACTGATTACACATGTGATTCAGAGCGTGGTCACGCTGAAGGCGTTCCCATAGCGTTTCGACGCAGCGTCTCTTCCCTCGAGGAAGAGACGTTTTCTCCAAATAAGAAAAAAATACATGTGTGAATTGTATGAGTTTCTTTAAAAACACATGGTTTACATAAAATATTTTATGTATTTATACAAGTTATGTTCCGAT